TGTTTTATGTTCCACCTGTGCTGCAGTGTTCTCGGGGATATAATCTAAATTAAGAGGTAGACAAATGACACATTAAAGGTCAATAACAACTAATCAGGATTGAGGTCAACAGGACAAGCTAAGAGTCATACGTGCAGAAATTCCAATACTTTACTGTCACTTGAAGTTTGTGTTGATACTGTTGTTTAAAAGAACACAGAGAGCTTCACAGCGAAACCATCCAGATCGGAAAAAGGAAACTTCACCATAATCATCTAGCTGAGCTACAAATTTTCTCCACCATCTCCAACTTACGTGAGCGGAAATACACAAAGTTACTGTATAAAGCACATTGAATACAGTTCCTCTTAACTGAAACAAAATATAATTGTCGTACTGAACGGAGTTCACACTGGACGAAATCCGTTCTCTCTACCTTGATTAAATTTCACAATGGATTACACAAAAAGCACTGATCTCAAGTGTCATATTTTTATACCGTTATAACAATACCGATTTATCTACTCGACTTTGAGTCACTATTTTCTAATGACAACCTAGAATAAGTAGGTCACGGTTCAGACATGTATTCCGCTAGTTGAAAATAGTTTACTTATATCATTTTGACTGATGTATCAAGTCGTGTAAGAAACAGATCCTAAACTAAGCACTTTTTGTTCTTAGTTCATTTTAGAAAAAAAGACTAACTGATAAAAAAACGTGTAAGAATATTGAATAAAATGTTCAAGCAAACTTTGTATTTATCAGATGTTTGAAATGAAATGGTTAAGAATAATTCAGTCTAACTAACTTCATGTGAAATAGGATCGAATTCACCAAATAGTTGTCCCATTGTGATTGATTTCGGGTTAATTGTTCTATAAATCACTTTTTCATATTCATCATGACCATTTTCATTCAGACGTGTCATTACTGTAGCTAATGTATGCAATACCGTAGTTTTAGATCCAAACGGTTCGCCAACAAGCATAAAACTAAACAATGAGATAATCAAAGTGTAAAAATCAGTACCAAAAAAAACGTACTGTTAACATAGAAAGTGTTATTTGAATAAGTTAGAAGTTTCCAGTTTGTTGAGTCTGATGAATACGTTACAAAGATTTACTTGGATCAATGGATCGTATAAATCACAGTTCATTTTTTATTGCGTGACGTATGGAGTCATTACTTATTTGTTCAGACCTCAATCGGTGATTTACGACGAGAATCCGAAATCTCTAGATTGAAAGTCAGCTTCTTAAAAACTCGTTAATCAGAGATTTTATTGTACTATTTTTTTCCTCAGATCTGTGTTTATACTTCAGATCAACTGACAATACAAAGGATCAAATCAAAAGTTGTACAAAAAGCAGTATCGATAACTATATTGGGTTTTCTAAAAAAATACCTGACCTAACTATAAATTTACTGATTTTTAGTCTTGAGTTTTAAGTAAAATCAGATCAGCCGACTAAGGTTTACGATTTTAAAAAAATCGATGGGTGAATAATCGACTTGGAGATTAAGGGCTCCTCTAACGTTTCAGTACTTATTATACAGCCGATTCAGTTGTCAATATTTTGTTCCTGTTAGACGATTTTATTGTTTTTGGTTAAACTAACCTATTGTTTGATTTTCATCCAATAAGGCAATCAAACCTAAAATAGTTTTAAATCATGAATAGCTAAATGAGACACTACTATTTACTGATCTATGACTGATTATCTTATCTTAAAATATCAGTCACGTTCCAAATATGCCCCTTAAACTGACTTTTGACATTGTTTAAGGTGTTACAGGTTCGAATCTCCAAAGGAGCATAAATATTAGGTTGCGGATGCATCCTCATGGTGAATACCGGTAGACACGAAACTGAGGTTCAGATTTTTTTATTACTTACCTCAAATGACCAGTTCATCAGTTACAGTGGGACTCAATACCTCTCAGTAATATTGTATTTATTGACCTTTTTGGTCAAAATTTGAAGCTCTCATTGGTTTTCCAGTAAATGCTATCAGTTCAAATAGAATTTCTCTATGTATTTATAAATCTACTCTGTTGTGATTGGTAGTGGAGTATAGTTATGATATCACTGTCTGGCTATTTGAGTTCACCCGACTGTTCCCTTATATGTTGTATAGCTTATTGATTTTTCACACTGATGGATATTTTCAAGTTATTAGAAAATATAGTAACTTCTGAGTAGCCCGAGTTTTAAGTTCCCATAAATTTTATCACTTTTTCGAATTAAGTTTAAGTTTTCAACATTGTTCCGGTCAAGCAAACTTATTAAGCTATCAATATGAATTGTTATAAGGGAATATATTTTATGAAGTCTGACAGGAAATTAGTATTGACGCAGGTATAAATGAAGCTGATGTATATATACTGCCATAGTGTGCGCACATGGTATCGTATTTCAACAGAAAAGAGTAGGATCTGAAATGGGAGTAAATTATTTGAAACTTTTTCAAAGATTATGATAATCCGATTAGCTTTATCAATAAACATAAACATAACTATATTTATTCACATAAGATATTCAACTTTATTAAATCTCCTAGGGATGGCGTGCTTTTATAGCCTCAACTAACTTATAATGAAGGAAACAACTCTTTACATTTGATTATCTATTTAACGGGCAAGAATCTGATACGTAAATACTTACCCATGTCGTACAATCATCATTTCATATGTTTGTGTAATTTTTTCAGTGAAAAAGTCAACAGCTTGTATGTTTCTTTCTTCGCATACTTTAGTAACTTCAGCTAAGAAAGTACTATAATCAGCTTCTGGTAATGTAATACCAGGAAATAAATCGGAGATAATACCACGAAATAAAGGAATATCATGTGCTAGAAATTTCGGTAAATTCACATCGATAATTGAACGTAAGAGCTAAAATTAAATATACACCGATTTAAATGGTTTATAGAAATATCAAAAACATTTTATTTGAAGAAAATAATTCACTATTATTTAATTAATTATTTGTGTACATAATCTGTATCATTCACGGGATAGGACTTTACCTAGTTATTACATTATAATGTGGAAACTCAGAAGCACTGAAAGGTATTTTACCTTTATACGAGACTTTTCAGCAGTGTGCATCCACAACATAGCAAATGGTAATCGAACCCAGGACTATTGTTCTTGACCTCTTGACCACTGAGCTGATATCCAACGGCTTTGATGACTAATGTGAATCAATACAAAACCCTATATTGACTCTTTTTATTTGTTTTTGTAAACCACTCCATAAAGTAGAAAATCTTACATATTACACAACAGATTATTAATAATTAAGTAATAGCAGAATGGAGAATCATAGTTAATAGGTCGAAAGAAAGCTTACAAGAATGTAAAAACATAATATTCCGGCTATCTAATAATTTTACAACGAAATATGAACAACTGTATGGTAGAAAATAATTCCAAAGTTCTTACTTCATTAATGCTCGTTCCATTGTAATGGTTTTTGGTGGTTGTTCGCGTAATCAATGGAAATGTAACAATCTACAGGAACCCTGTATACCAACAGTATACAAGCATATATATATTTGTTACAATATGGAGTTATGAAGATTGTTGTTTTATAAGGACATCGTGAATCAATCATTGTTAGACCACCATTGGAAACCTGGAAACACTGGACGGTCGTTTCGTCCTAGTATGGGACTTTTCCGCAGTGCGCATCCATGACTCCGGCTCGTGAAACCGAAGATCCTGGGTTCGATTCTCGCGGGCATGGGTCATGGATGCGCACTGCCGAAAAGTCCCATACTAGGACGAAACAACCGTCAAGTGCTTCCAGGTTTCTAATAGTGGTCTAACAATGATTGATTCACGATGTCAACATATATTTACTGGTATTGTATTGTTCCATAGCTGGGTATAAGATTTGTAAACATTGGCACTGTGGTAAGCATTCACATAAACATACTTAAATAACACTAAGCTTGCAACAGTTTGAACTAATGTAACAGTGACTCAGTTAACTTAACTTGTTAAAAAGTGAATCTCTACCGATAAAAATTCGCTGTCAGTTTTATTTGATTTTTATAACATACAGGCTTAATGGTAATTTAAACTTTAAAAATTACGTACAAGAATATTTTCATTTTCGTCAGGAAACTTCAATTTCAAATTACCAGCTGCTTGTAGAACTGCTTTCACTGCTCGCATACCATAATCATAATGTGCTTGAGAGGAAAGTTGTTCTGAGCATAAACGATAAGTTGTGACAATTTTCACTGATAAACTACGTGCATCCATAAAACCATAAGAATAAAGTGATATTTCACCGATCATAGCATAATCTGGCACCATCATAGCTACTGGACGAAATAAAACCTAAACGAAAATTATTTATAAAAAGAACCAAAAATACGTTACGTACAATAAGGATTAGCTTGATTAGTTTTTAATTTATGTTAGGAGTGTTGTTTGAATTTTTTCTGTTGTTGATGTTTCTTCTAATATGTATTCTGTGCAGACTGGTTGAATACTACTATTAAATTACTAGTGAATTCAACCCTGAGATGCAGTAATATCCTACTGACAAGTACTGAATAGGACTGAATGAATGCCCTGGATTACAGCCAAAAATTCATATGTTTCTCATCATTTCAGTTTTATGTCTCAATGATGGACAAAATTAACAGAAATAGATTCGTGAAAATTGTTTAACTTTTTTAGTTATTCCACGATCTAAACCGTAAAGATAGGAGGGTAAAGAAGCAAAGAATAGAATTCTTGTGATTCATAAAAGTTTTCAGCTCTCGGTTTCCGACATAATACAGGGTTGATTGTTTCAAGTTGATAACCAGTTAATTTGTTGTAGAATGTGCAACGCTTTCATTGAGTAACTGACCATACAACATCGAAATAAACAATAATTCTACACTCTGAATTCATGTGTAAGTTACATCAGTCGGATCAGACTCATAATGAAATAAATTTATTGATTCACTTTGTCTAAAACTTTGCAACTGACATCGATGTAGTTTGCTTGATGATTTTATTGCATTTATTAATAGACAGGATTGTGAATTTACAGAAGATTAGCTCTAAGAATTAATATTTAGAGACTGGCAGATTCGTTTTCATGGATAACTTTAAGACAAACCAAGCTAAACCTTACAGAAAATAATTTCAAAAAATGTTAAATTTATACTGTCTGCTTTCCATTTACTACTATACACACAAATCATGATCAGTGAAAGTAGATCAATCAAGATAACTCAACATTTGGGTTTTAACGTTTGTCCTACAATTAGAGTTAGTAATTTTGAAGCTGGCCGTAAAATTTCTGGAAAAAATCTCAGAATATTCACTATAGGATGCTTTCGAATTGTTTAGAAGGCACTAGAGTAACAAAATCTGAGATTAAAGTAGTTGTGTTTTTAATTTATAAATTTTTATATTTGCAGAAGTCTTCATCAAATGGTTGCTTCAGAGCATTTGTACGCTTTGGATTCAGTTATTATTATTAAATATTTTACTTTTAAAAAATAAAAGTAATTTATACAAATACGTGCTATTGTGCTTTACATGGAAAATGTGATAATCATTTATTGATTGCAATCTATAAACTGTGCTTTGTGGTCACTCATTTAATTATATTTTTTAAAATTGAACATTCATGATTTCGAAGATACCACAGTTGATAGCAAGTTTAATGAATACAGTTTATAGAAATATACAGCTTATTCTCAAGAGTAAGAGATGTCACAAAAGTTAACGCAGAATAGACACATGAAGCTGGTTATACATTCTGTTTACGATTCGATTTATTGTTTCCACTCGAAATCTAACATTTTCAAAATCTTACATTTAGGTAACTATGAAAAATACACCATTACTTACTTTTAAATTATCTGGCAATTCAGATCGACCTGCATAACCAGGATTCATTGTTATGCATACATAACAATTACTATTTAAATTTAATTCAGTCCCCTCAAACACGAAAACTTCTAAGTGAGATTGAATAGCTCGTATAATGCAAAGAATCTGTTTGAAATAAAGACAACAACATTTTTTATTTCATAAGTGATAGATTGAGCTATTAAAAAAACCTAGTCATTTTGTTTGGTCGACAGTTTTTATTTACACTTATTGTACAGAATTATTATGCTTTATAGGTTCTCATTGCTTGGAAAATTGTCAACGATTCGATTAATCTTTTAATCTTGTAATTAGATACAATTGACTCCTGTAAACAACTGATTCCGAATTTAAGTTTAAAAAAATAACCAACTTAACATGGATTGGCAAAACAAGGGAAGTGTCTTTACGATTGAAGAATGTCAGGGACTCAAAGCAACTATCTGTCAGTCAACACCAAAGTCACAATTTTCAATACGAAAGTCAAGATAGTTCCGTTGTATGAAGCGAAAACTTGGAGAAATACGAAAGCCATCATCCAGAAGATACAGGTGTTTATTAACAGTTATCTACGCAAGATATTGAGAATCCGTTGGTAACATACTATCAGAATATAACCTACTGTGGGAGAGAACAAACCTGATTCAAACAGAGGAAGAAATTAGCAAAAAGTGCAGGCGATGGATAGGAAACATATTGCTGAAAGCATTCAATTACATCACAAGACAAGCTTTAACTTGGAATTCGCACGACCAAAGGAACAGAGGGAAAAAGAACATAATGTGCCTAGAATTTAAGTCAGCCTATTAGTAGCTTTGATATAACACTGTTAGGCCGGAAATATTGTCTAACATATATTCAAACAATCATTTGACACGTTTTGTGTTTGGCCTTTAAAGCTAATGAAACCAGTTCTAACAGATAATTTAATCCAGCATCATGAATATTACATTTATAAATTAGTAATTAATTTTCTGTATGAAACACAAACTTCTCATGAAATTTTTGAAAGTATTATTTTTAGCAAATAAAAATTTATCAGTTATTAGGCTTTTTAAAAAAACTCATCCAATTATTACTTGTTGCGCAACAACCGACAATACTTCAAGTTCTATACGATTAAATTCATCAAAACACGCCCATGCACCAGACGAAGCAAGTCCTTTGAAAAACTTAATCATCCATCGAAAAAGAAAAACAAAGCAGGAAAAACAAAAAACTATCGGTTAAGTATGAATATTGATATTTTATGTTTTTAAACTCATTATTTATTCATACTGCTCAATTTCACTTATTGGTATGATATTTTTAAAAATAAACGCTTCCAAATATCACAGAAAGAATGAAAGTTTCACTAAGAAATGTTAAATAAATCATTAAAATCGTGAAAGGCTGTGATGTTTAATGAACAAGTTGATTCATGAAGGTTTTCCTTCGTTAACTGATCAGTCTAAAATCAAGCCGACAATTCGTCCAACAAACATTATGGATAGAAATTGTATCAACGTGCTCGTTTTGTAGAAATCTGGATCTTGTTAATAAATCGGTCAATTAATATCACCCACTAGCTAGTCGTTCATGAGAGGTTGAACATACTTCCATCGAAATAGAAAATATCATCAAAATTTCTCCAGTGCTATTATCTTTTAAATATATAATAATTAACTACACTACACCTAATTACCCAGAACATTCAACTGATATCAGTTAGTCATATTCAACATGAAACTTGGTAAATATCCATCGGTTCAAGGTGTCAACATGGTGAGATCCAAGATTAGCATAGAAGCAGTGATATTTTCGGTGGTAATAAGTAAGATTAGGCAAAAAGGATGAAAATAGTAAAATAATTTCAAAAAATACATTCATCTGACCCACTGCAAGTGATGCTGAGATATGTAAACCAGTAGAAACAATAATTGCTTAGTGAAAAACCAGTTAGACTACACACCTACACCTACACAGCTTACTTAACCCGGCAGTTAATGACTTCGTGGACTGATGTTAAAAACCTGGGTGGACCAACTTGTCTTCTTTCAAACTATTCGTAATGCAGTTAATATCGCTCTTCAAAGTAGATGATAGTTAAGCATATGTAAAACATGATCCAGGTACGTCAGCTGGTTAAGATTTATTACCTTGCCAGCAGATTTTCTATTACCATGTTATATTACCATATTACCATGAGTATAAGGTTATGATTACTCACTAAATGATCCTAGTACATAGGTGTAATGCTTCGATGGCATTTCAAATTAAATACTACCAGTCTATAAACATTCTTTGTAGGTTATGTTTCACAACTAGAATATAGAACAGAGTGTATTAACAAAGGAATATCGACGAAATACAGCTTAATCAATATAATTGTACATGTAAATATATTCTCAAAATCTTTACACTCAGTATATATTTGAAAGAAAAGAACGCGAAAATTAATTATTCTCTCTTACTTTACCCATAGCAATATAATCTAAACCATCGGAGCAGTTGAATACAACACATTGAACAGCAAGAGCTTTAGCTAAATCCTTTGTCGTTTCTGTTTTACCAGTTCCAGCAGGGCCTTCTGGAGCACCATTCAAATTCAAGTGATAAGCTCCAATTAATGTCCGATAGCATCGATCCGTTAGTGGAGTAATGACAAGACGTGGAGAATTACCCAAGTATTCATAAGCATAAGATACTTTAGCATTTGTAAGTTTGACCTGTTATGTTTAATGCAAATAAGTGAAAGCATAAATATTTTAGTACAATAAAAGTAAAACTATCTTTCTATATAATATTTTACTGGTGTTTAGTGGAAGAATGAGATACTGTGTTTCGTTATATTTATGATTTATCTCTACTAAAGTTGTTTGATTTCGACCAATAGGAAAATCCTAAGCGAGATTTTGTTTTCATTACGAGTTTACACAAAGAGACATTTCTAATCTTGAAAGAACTGAAACTCCTCTTGAGGGTTAAATCACTTGTCCACCCTTGGTCCCAGGTATATATGTGACCTAAATGTTATTTGAACTGAACTAATCACGTTAAGTGAGAACTGATGTGTAAAAATTCCTGTTATCTACTTCTCAATAAATATAGAATCCAAACCTTCAAACTGTGATATAGTCAACTGGGCATGTGACTCAACAGTTGCCAATGTTTTCACTTCGAGACTCATTCGGACTTGTAAAAAAAGCTCCGTAATTGAAGCTTATTATTACGTGCACCTTATTACACTTTTGTTTATCGTCTTGAACCTAACTTGCCCTAGCTAACAAACTTGGTTAGTGTGTGAGTTTCAGCTGGAATACAACACAAGCTATTTAATTGCCTATAAGATGCGATACTTATAAGTTTCATTCCTTCTTGAGGCTTAATTTTCCCAAACGTATTTAACAATAACCATCAGTATTTTGTTGAATGTCTGAAATATTTTCTTAATGCCATGTCATCAACTTACATAAATTTTCAAGAAAAACACTATTGTTTTGTCCATAAATGACAAACAAACAGTTTTACTCATAAATATCAACATTAGTTTTCTGAAAATCTTAACTGACCATCTCTAGCTTACAATGTATGTTCCATTGAAAAAAAAGTATGATTAACTAAGGATTATGTACTGTAAGCATTTACAACACTATTACAACATATGACTGAGTGAATTACCTCGACATTTTCATTTTCCCAATAATATCGTAATTGTGATAACCAATTGAAATCATTCTCTGATGTGACACCTAATTTAATCATCTCATGAACAACATCACGTGCATGCACATCGATAACGACAAGCGCTCCAAGTGTGATACGTTGTTGTGCATTTAATTTGCCACGTACTAATTTTACAATGGCATTCATTTGTTCACCTAATTTTTTATAATAATTTTCTAAACCCGTCGTTCCATATTCAAGTGATTCGTGTACTTCACATGTCCAATATATCTGTGATACGCACAAAACTACTTGTCCAGGCCATTGACAAACCCATAGTTCACGTTCTTCTTTTTCGTAAGCCTTTAAATATAAATACAATTGAGTTATGAGATTGTAACTAAGATAAGTGAATACTATCTACCACTGAGTAGAAAATAAATGCCAAATATTTTAAAACTCTGATAAACCAGTGATGTAACACTAAAGTTTCTGGAAATCCACTCAATTGTTTTATCATGAGTAAACGATTATCTAGAAGTAAAATGATTCAGTGGGATTTTGTTTATTTTTCAAGAAATCTCTATCTTCTATGATCATTATTTTCACATTATTATCAATTAGATGTCACTTTTTAGTTAGTGGCAAACATCTTCGATACACAATAAAACTGAATATAATTGTTTTATTGAAAGATGAATATATCTACATCTCAAACAAAGATAAAAAATGCAAGTTTGATGACATATGAATATTCAGGATTATTGTAATTATTAAAGCTGTAAACGTTTCTGGATCAAATTTACCGAGACAATTCCAAAGGTCAAGCTTGCATAACGAACTTTTGATATTATAAAGTTCGAGTTTATTACTCGATTTTCAAAAAAACAACTAGAAACAAGCATTCTGGATACTTGCAGAGTACATGTTCTAATTCATATCAAGTCTTCTTCTTTTACTCATGGAGGGTTTGGGAGTAAACTGTTGTATCGCCGGATCCTCGATACTCGCTCTCGTTTACTGACTAAGGTAAACTCGTATTAGTTCAAGCCTATCACATGAAGTGTTTACGTGCATAAGTAACAGATTCTGTTTGCTAACATTTAGTCTCTTGAATTACAATATCTTTGGATTTTATAAACAGCGAAATCGATTTTACAAATGGTAAATTATGAAATGATTATCTACAAAAGTGTTGGACGCTTGTTTGGTGGTATTTTAATGGCATAAGTATTATTATGCTACTATATGGGAATTTATTGTAACCTTGAACATGTGTTTGATTGATGAATGTTTACTATTTCGGCATGTTTATTCTTTAAACGTTTCTACAATCAATGACATGAGTATCAGTTCTACATGACTCATATCAAACCTAATAAAAGTTGTGTGAATTAAAGTCGCATTTCAGTTATTACAACATTAAAAATTGATTGAAGCTATAAGTGTAAACTATCGGGCAGCAGTTGATTGGTGCATAAAATCAGATGTTCTCCCGAGACTCCAGGGAGTTGGGTTCGATTCTAGGTTAATTGTTAAATGAGCACCATAAGGAATTCTCAATTTAAAGGAAATAACTATGCAGTTTGCGTTGTTTTATGATAGTTGTTCATCTATGGCCAACCGTTTATGTGTGGCTGAAAAATTTTCTTCGAAATAAGTTATCTAAAACCTGGACCATAGAACCACGATTAGAAATAAAAATTTTTATTTTTTCAAGGAGAACAAATATTACTGATCGATGCTGCAACTGAGTTAAGACATTATGAGTCAACTCCATTGAAAAATTAATTCGTTTTATTTACCTTGTTATTGATTATATTTTCACGCTGAACGTTTATGATTAACGAAATTGAAGGATTTTAGAGATCAAAAACAGCTTTTATACACAGGTAAGTGAGTTACACAAGTGTTCATTAAGGGAACATTATTAACCAATAAGGAAAAACTTATGGATGGGTACAACATGTAAAGAGATCATCCATCTTAGCATCTTCTGACCGCTTTACTTAAAAAAACAGATTAAAAACCAAGACTATTTACATAAACCCTTGAATGTTCGTATCAATCACGTATCAAAAAGTCGTTTTATTAATTGAACGAATAGGTAACGAACGAATAGGTAACTTAACTGATTTCAAACTCCAGATAGCTAAGCTCACTTAAGTGAAGTGTAGCCTATTTATCCAGTGTGAATTTTCCTTTCAACATTTTGTTTAAAAATTCTCAAAAAAAAATACACAATAAAAATCTATCACTGCCAATTTTCCCACTGTATATTCTTACTGAAAAGTGTTGATACAAACAACGGAGACTTACTTCCCTAGCATGTGCTATCACATCTCGAACAGACATGAGCATCACCTTTTCTACTTGTAATAGCCACTTTTCTACTGCACCACGTGTTTCTGACGTACTTATTGACTAAGAAAAAAAATTTAAAAAACATAATGTACTTCCATGTTACTAAATGTCAAAATTGAGATTTTGATTTTGATTTACGTGTTTTATCAGACAGCTGATCAGTACAACATAGAGCTAATTGATTATATTTCATATATATTTGCTTAATAAGACAGATAATCGAAATATTATAGAAACTCAAATTGTAATTGATGCAAATCAGTGTTAGATATAAGCTACTCTCCATTGCTTTTCATCAGTTGCGTTTGAATAACCAAGACTTGGAAAGTGTAAATTATTTGCTTCCACTTTTTGAACTACTTATTGTTTGAAAGTAGTATGATTTGATTTATTGATATTTGATCAATGAATGTGAACAGGCATGCATAGTGGGTTATTGACACAAATCATATCAAGAATTCCAAGGACTCCGAATTTTGTTCATCCAATATGTCAAGCTGAAAATTGTTTTCTTGATACAGTCTCGATTTAAATAATTTCAGGTTTACGTTTTCAATGTAACTAATATGGCTAGATAGTTTTGAATCGGATGTTCAAAAACGTGACATACCCTTCTGGTTAGGGATCGAACCAAGAATTTCTAGGCATTACAATAAGTCATAATCTTCATAAAAATGAATTCTCATCCACAATTGGATGGAAAAACTCTCCATTGTAAGATAGGTCTCTAAATGATTTCATTTCATGATTTAAACTGAGCTTCAACTAGAAATTTTTTGCGATTTTTCTTTTTAGTGATAAATTATTTTACTCATTTATGAATTCAACTCATCGAAACATATTCATTTATCGAAATATTATGGAGAGAGCTGAATTGTAATTGATGCAAATTAATGTTAGATATAAACTACTCTTTATTGCTTTTCATCAGTTGCGTTTGAATAACGAAGGCTTGGAAAGTGTAAATTATTTGCTTCTACTTTTTGAACTACTCATTGTTTGAAAGTAGTATAATTTGGTTTACTGATATTTAGTATTGATCAGTGAATGTGAACTTACGCAAACATAGTAGGATCTTGACACCAATTATATCTAGAATTTCAAAGACTTCGAACTTTCTTCACTCAATATGTCAACGGGGTGAAAATTATTTTCTTGATACAAGTTTTTATTTAGAAAATTTCATGTTTACGCTTGTAATTTAATTAATATGACTAGGTAGTTTTGAACTGTATGATCGAAAACGTCACATGCCCTCCTGGTTAGAGATCGAACCAAGTATTTCAAGACCTTACAACAAATCATAATCTTCATAAAAATGAGTTCGCATCCACAATTGGATAGAAAAGCTCTCGACTGTCCTAAAGGTGTCTAACTTATTTCATTTCTTTTTAGTGATAAATTAATTTACTCACTTATGAATTGAACTCATCAAAACATTTATTTAAGTAGTAGCATTGCAATTACCTGACTGAGTTGAACTTTTTCACCTTCACTTGAAAACATTGCTTTGATATCTAGACGATCATCGAATTCCAATTTGGCGATACCTTCAAAACATTTTTTAAAATGTGGCTGAACACGAAGTGGATCTTTTGTTTCAGATAATATCTCCAACATTTCATCATTGGATAAAAAGAAAAATCTTGCAAAAAATAAACGTTTCTTCTCCAAATAAGCATTTAAACCTTTATTAATTTTATCTAGTAATCCATTGCTATCTTTGATTTTTTCTAAAATTCCAGGAAGAGCAGTTGCCTAAATTGTTTATATTTTGATATCAGAAAAAATTATAATAAGATGATGATTTTTTTTAAGTAGTTAATAAACTGTCGAGTTTCATTAACGAATAATTGAAAACTGGAAGATATGTTTGGGATTACTGTACCAATCTATTCTGTCGGCAAAGTTTCAAGGTCTTTAGATAAGTTAAAATATCTCAATTCAAAATAAAAACTGAAAGTAAGGCTTGATTTACTGTATATGCTCTGTCTGTGTATAATTAAATTTACAAACTAAGAATGTTCATTACAAATATGCAGTCTCTAATTGAGCAAAATGAATTCAGATTTTGAAAAATGACCACCAAGGCTTAGAATTTTTCGATAAGCTTCTCAAACTCCACCAAATATGAGACAATATGTATCAGTCCTATTGAGAAACATAGTTTCAGTTCTATTTCAGTAATCAAACTTATTTCGTGCCAGCCTTATATTAGATTAGAGGGTGGAACTGGTAAAAGCTACATATAGTACCACCCGTAAGGGGGTACTTTCAATATCTGTCGGATGAAAACCTGATAAAAAGGGGCAGAATTTCACAATGGATATCCAACGATGTAGTTTTCGTTACTTTACGTCGTTCAATTGTTGTTAGAAGTTATTGATTGCCTTGTGTCCTTCAGCGCACAACAGTTCACCCTTCGAAATGAATAGGGTCAAAAAGTTTACGGAACAATTTAACTAGAAGTATTAATCATGATTGTACGCTTACAATTCGGAATTGAACAGGCTTATTTCAAAATAGCGCACTGAAATAAAAAATAAGTATGATGTTTCGAAGTAAATTCATAGGACGTATGCATTTAAAGCAGACATTTTAAATGTACCTTCATAACATTTGGATCTTTAACTGTATTTTTCATGATATCTTTGAAATTACGGTTTACAACTTGGAAAAGACGACCCTCTTCAGGCATCTGTTGCATAATATCTTCTGAACTAAATATCGGGTCTAGATATAACCATTGAGCTTGCATTTTTAACAATTCATCTAATGTTTCTTGTAGATACAGAAGACGTTCTGCCCATTCCTATGAATAAGGGAATTAAAAGAAGAAGCATTAGAATCTTCAATCATTTAAAGTTATCTTGAGTAGACAGCTTAATATTATTACAGCTGGTTATATCAGTTCTTTTAAAATATGTGGCGTATATTGGTTATGAATGCTAACTAGAACAAGGAATATGTTCAGAGCTTCGTAATAAACTTCTGCAACCACTTAACAATACCAAACATAATGTACAAGGATGCTGAGTTACATTCTTTCCAAAAATCAAAAAAGAATAACCTTTTCGTTTTGCGAGAAGCCGGAAACTTACTTTTAAAAAAGCTCTTGTAACGTGCTGAAATCGTCAGCAAAACAGAGAGAATTATGGAATCCAACCGTTTACTGAAACGCGGAGCATCTCCTGACAAGAAAATTGCAGACGATTCACAAAATATGAAAACATAACAATAATTGTACCATTTGTACATCTTCCTTGAGTTGACTTTCACAATCTCCTCCGTCTATGTTTTCTTGTTGTTTTGACGAACGCTCACTGTTTCTTTATCTGCTTTCCTCACTTCCATATTGACCCAGTAAGAATTTGACTACCTGTACTCAATATATACTACTTGCATCTGTCCGTATAAGTAGCGCAGAAAGCAATATTGTTATTTAATACATAGTCGTCATACCATATTGTGAATTAAGTATAGATTAAAATGTAGTTCGTTAAATTCCAATCTAAGTGTACTGAATGTTGTAAATTAAATCACATTTATTGTCATAAGTCCTTAATGCATGTAATAAAGACAAGATTTTTGTTTAGTGTTAACTAAGTCTGATTTTTTCTCCAAGGAATATCACTCTGTGACAAAAATTACTTTCAAATATTTTATCGATAAACTCACTTTAATTTCTTTTTCAAATGGTTTTATGTATGGTGATCCTCGCATTGTTTGCGTTTTACTAATCTGATCATCCAACATTTGTTGTATATCATCAATCGAAGCAAGTATAGATATACCAGATTCACGATATGCAATTAAACTAAATGATATATCAGTCCAATCATCTTGCATTTTTTTCATATTTGTTTCTAAAGTAAATTCTTTACTTGCTCCATTTGAAATATTGGCAAAATTTTCCATAAATGGATCCAAATTTAATTGGAGCATTTTAGCTAATGATGTACCACTATCTGGTGTTAAATCTATACCAGCTATCTCTGACATTGCATCCCAATGTCGTTTTCTTATGCCGGGATTGCATAATATCGCAATAATTGGGATATTTTCCTTTAATGATAGAAAAATAATAAGAAATAATTAGAAAGAGGTGCATTATCATCGACTACTTAGTCAAATGATGTTTCTTTTACAATTTTAAGTACTAATAAAAACTTGTACGCTACCAATATATAATATATTGCTACTAATTTAAATGACATCATATTGTTTTACAATATATCTGATTTTCTCGTTGTTTGAAAATCACTTTCACAATTGATTAGATTATACATCGACATTAGTGGATAACTTTTTTTGTGTATGACTATTCGGTTTATGACCTTAAATTGAAATTGTACTCAACTTGAACTGTGTTCAGGTTATTGATTAGAAGTGAAAACTCACTGAATCATTTACATGCTAAGATTCATCTCAGTGTAGATACTACAGTGTAAATGGAAAAAGGAAATATCTTCAACATTTAAATATCTACCGTTCAATTACCTAGTAATACCAGTTTTACATGATAATCCCACATCAACTTTCATGCCAGTAGTTACACTTCTTGAATTTTGTGTAATAATTCTGAGATGATAATTGTTTACATAGTACTCATGAAGTACAACCTCTTGAAAGCATATGAAGTTTACTACTGACTACCTTTATCAGGTCGCTCCAAACTCGATTTAATGGTAAATGTATGAATAACCAGATTGTAAGTCCAATTAAGCATGTATCACCGCCACCTGTTAACTGTGCGAACAGATAGCATGTTGATGTGAAGGCGTCAACAATCTTTACAAGCATTATTCTGAATGGTAAACGTTAAATGATCAACAAAATTTAAATAATACATTTTCAAAAGTAGCTTTGTAGAGATTGGAAATTTTAAAGTACAAGAAATATCACCTTAAAATCTTTAATTTTATTCTGAACATCTTCAATTATATTTAAAGCTCCAGGTGGTTTCACCTCTTCCATTTCTTCTTCTTCTTGTTCAACTACCGAAGCACCATCTTCTTTAGTCTCAGTGTCTGGGGGTGCTGTACTTGCACGACGTTTTCTTTTTCGTGCTTTGTTTCGCTCATCCGCTTCCATGGTCATTTTCTTAAATTTCGCTGTGAAAATTTTCTGCAGTTTATATAGTTCACGCCAATATTCTTCTACTTCAGCGTCGATTGCTTCAGCGTTTAATTTGTCGAATTCACCATAGAGCCATCTAAATTTTGAACATTGAGAAGGTTTGTCAAGAACAAGGTACTTGTCAGTGAGTATCATAATAATATCAAATTATAAATTCGTTTCAAATTCACATCAAGTTAATATCATATGTCATACAACCGTAACAATTATACCCTAAAGTAAGAAAGTTTCAATTTGCAATGTCATACAGAAGAACAACTTTCAAACTACAAACTTATTGTTGCATTTTTAAATTGAGCAAATTCAATAGTCCAATGTCAGGTTTGTGAATTCGAACTTTTCAGAACATATCAACTAACATAACAGATGACCAGATATTCTGCAACAATTTTCCACTTAATGTATTATATATAATAAAAGTCTTTCTATCATCCTTGTTAGTGTAGAAGTAGGTTAGGGGCGGCCGAAATCGAACATGACTAACGGTCAGAATCATGCTGGCAGAAGTAAACGACTGAGTTATGGTCTGCTTGATGAATCTCGGTAATTCTATTTGGCTGATCGAGTAAATGCAATATAGCGACCCGGGTCCATTGAACATCACTGTCAAGCTCTATATTGATAATATCTGTATCTCTGTTTTAGCATTAAGGCTACAACAGATCAATTGAATTAGAATTTTATAATATGCAGTAAAAATCATTTACATGTTGGTACATATAACTTACCGTCTTTCTGATCTAGAATATTTCACTGCAGTAGTAAATAATCTCAGAAATGGTTCTGCTAAATTTCGAATTTCTTCCAATTCAGGATAACTACTAATTGGAAGTTTATATAAATCCTCTTCTTTATTAATCCATACTTTTTCATTCTCTACATCTTGAAGACGTTTTAAAACTGATCGAACATCTTGGACGTATTGATTTTGCATTTCCGCATCTGTTTCGCCATAATCATTAAATTCATCAACACGTTTCTTTAATCGATTTATTTCAGTAGTTAGCTTTTCACGTTTTTCTGTCACAACAGCTTCACCAACTGAACGCATTCGTTCTTGTAGCTGTAAAATAATTCAGTAAAATGAATCATTTTCATCAATCAACAGCTAGATCATATTAGTTGATCAGTTTTTATCAATTAATAATCTTACGAGAATCGATTACCAAACAGAATACTGTCCACTTTGACACTCATTGATCATGCTTTGAATCCGATGTGAACCATATCATTTAAATCTTATCAATAACATTACAAGGACTTACTTTGTCATTGGCATCGAATTCAGGAATAATTCGTTTTTCCCATGTCAATACAGCACAGTTCTTTTCTAATTCCTCCGGGCTAAACAAATATACATCGAGTAAATAGTTTAAGTATTCCGCGCTTAACTAAAAGAAAAAAAGAGATTTAGCGAAATCATGAAATAGAATCTTATCTTCCAAATGATAAATCATTTGCGTATAAAATGTTGAGTTCAAAAATAATAATAAACGATCATAATAAACGATCACTTCTGTGTGAAACTCTGTTAAAATACTGAATTCACTTACTGAAATCTTTTCTGTCATACGACTCATACCTTGGCATCGAGCTTCTTCCATGTATTGAATCATATCAATCAATTCTTCAGTATTTTGTGGTTCTGTATGACAGCGATCTCGCATTTCTTCAAATGTTGAACAAATTCTTTATTATGTGAAGTGAAAAAAAAGATGTTAACAAGTGTGAACTCTATGTAATGCATAACGTTTTAGTTTATGTATCGAATTTAAGAATTCCAAATGAATGTGACATGGAGCTAACGTCAAAACAGAAATTTAATCACCCTATATTTTCTCAAACTGACATTCATCGGTGTCTCATGGTATTTAGTGCGGCATCAGTTCAGTAAACTGCAGATGTTCATTTGTAAATTTAACTGTCTCGCGCATTTCCTACTCAATTAGCACTCTCAATATGGAATTTAATAATATATTTTTTGAGAAATGACCGATCAATCAAAGTACAGTAACTTGTACATATCACTTTGATTGGACTAGGCTCCATTAAATACTGATTGAGTAATATGAAGAAATAAGACTACTTCCAGGCAATACAATGCTGTTATGGTGATCAAGAATATTTTAAGTTGAATAAACATTAAGAATAGAGAAAAATATGTGAGATTAAAGACAAAAGCAAATAATTGATAAAAAGGAAAGCAACATGTAGCACAAGTCTCACAATTTCTCTGAAAACAATCCTGTCTCATGTTAATTAGTTCATCTTTCTGATATTTAGAATTAACCGAAGAAAAAAGTTTATAGCTTATACAAATGATCAGTGACTTCATCTTAAAGATATGAAAATTGGTGACAAAGGACAATGATTACTCATTTAGATAGTTGTTATTCAGGATTTCCACTAGCAAGCACAACCCATCAACATAACTCTTTGTTAGTAGTTTATCGTGCTTATTTTGTTTCCAAAACATAAGTCACTGAGTGTTATGAAACAATTAGTGTTTTTTTTGTAAAGCAATTCACATAGTTGCTGCAGTCACTTTTTTTACTAATACAAATGAATCCTTCTATATTCCAGAATTATTTTGTGTATTTTGTTCATTAGGTGACCCAGAACTTATCTATAACAAACTTCACTCTTAAACAACAATACTTTTAACGTTTTCGATAGAAGATGAACTACTACCAGTCTCTTAGCGTTATTAGCTTTTATACAACTAAACAATTTAGATGACATATAAACATTATTTAATTACCTGATAGATAAATATTGTGAACACATTTCACTTACTCGTCATTATTTTGTGTGAAATCTGAAACGACTCGATCTAACAATAATTTGGCCAACCGATGACATTCTTTGTATAAGCCAGTCTTAGCATCACCACAATCAAGTTGTATTAAATCAAAGTATTCAGTATTTGGTAAACTCATCACTTCATTTGCTAAATTATGCAATTTGGTTATGTACTATAAGATGAACAGAAAGAAACCGAAATATAACTACTTTTGTAGATATACTTAATATCCTAATGTATCTCATGCAATTTACTTAGTCGAACTAAATTCAACATGAAATATAAGAGATAAATTATAATCACAGTTGAGAAGTCAGTAAATACTATGAATCAAATGACTAATATTATTGCTTCTTGACTTAATACTCTTCTAGTGAATGAGTTATCAGCTTTAAAATGTTATCGTTGAGTAATGGACTGATGATCAACTTGAAATAATTATTCAGTGAAACTCAGTACATTATGCGAAGCAATGCATACAAAGCCACAACCAAAGACCTTTGTTCAGGTTGTGAGTTTAACTATCAACACTTTCTACTCCGACAAACAGATATTTCTCTACGAGTTGATTTCTAATCCCACTGACGCTTTGGACAAAGTGAGGTATATCAGTCTGACTAACGCGTCGGTTTTTGATCCAGGTGATCTGTACATCAAACTGATACCAAACAATGAGGCTGCTGGTGGTACTTTTACGATTACCCCATAAAGTGGTGAGATGCTGAAAGGTGGTATAAGGGTTATACTGTACTTTAAGGAGAACCGGATTGAATTTGTCGAAGAGAGAAAAATACGAGATATAGTAACGAAGCACTCTCAAATTATTAACTTTCCTATCAAATTGGTTGTCGATATAGAACGAAACAAAGTAGTCAGACGATGAAGATAAAAAAGAGCAGACCAAAAGTCAGAAGAATCTGAGGACAAGCCGAAAGTCGAAGATCTAGATGAAGATGAGGAAGAGGGGAGAAAAGATTAAATGAAGGAAAAGAAAGTAACAGAGAAGTACAAACAGAAAGAGCAGGTGAAAAAACTTAGGCCACTTTGGACTCGCAACCTTGAAGATATCACACCAGAAGAGTATGCTGAGTTTAATAAGTCGTTAACGAATGACTGGGAGGACCACTAAGTAGTGAAGCGGGAGTCACGGCGTAACAATTAAGGCGTGAGCATGAGTCGTTTGACATGTTTGAGGGTCATAATAAGAAAATGACATCAAATTGTAAGTCCGAAGAGAGTTTATCATGGACAGTTGTGAAGAGCTGATCCCTAGGTACCTGAGTTTTATCCGGGGAATTATGGACAGTGAGGACCTTTCAATGAACATCAGTCGTGAGATGTTGCATAGGAGTAACGTGTTGAAGACGACTCATAAGAGCATAGTCAGGAAATGTATTGAGTTTTTCCAAGAGAAAGCAGAAGATAAAGAGAACTACAAGAAGTTCATGAACAATTCTCGAAGGATATGAAACTTGAAGATAGTGTGAACACGAAGAAATTAACTGAATAAGTACGCTACCAGTCGAAAACTGGTGGTAATGAAATGACAAGCTTGAAGGATTATATGTCACTACGGAAGCCTGAACAGAAGGACAACCATTACATAATCGGTGGGACGAAGCAAATGGTGGCGAAATTGGCATTTACTGAGAAGCTAGTTCAGAGTATGTTGGAAGTGTAATATACGGTTGGCTCTATTGATAGGTATTCAGTGACGTAACTACGAGAATATGACGGTAAGAAGCTAGTATGTTTTACTAAAAATGGTCTGTAGTTGCTTGAAGAGGAGGGGGAGAAGAATAAATTCGAGAAACCAAAGGTGTCCTTCACACCACCGTGCAGAGACCTGGCAGATACTTGGTAAGAACGTGGATAAGGTAAGAATCTGGATTGCCATGTTGTTTGGCTGGTCTGAGAACACGAAAAGGATCATAAAGGCTCAGGCTCTTCATGACTCTAATACGATGGGGTATTTGACAGCTAAGAAGCAAATGGAGCCGAGTCCGTATTGTGGTATGGTCAGTGCGTTGAAGGAGCAGTTTGAGAGTGGGAATTCAATCAAACTTGCCAGGAATCCTGCGCAACTGCACTTCTCTCTGTTTTTTCACTCCTGAATCCCATGATTCACGCTAAAAGCATCCACCACACGATTTGCATATGCTTGGATATTTCTGATGATGAAATTAGGCTAAGGTCGTTATAGACAGTGGTCCCGTAAAGAAGGTCCCATCTACCGAAGCAGGTAATGACGTCGGTATATATTTGTATATATTTGATAATCGAATAATAATTAGTTCAAGTATTTGAGCTATTTTATTTCTTTTGACTTTGTTAACTATCCCAACAGGAGTTATGTCTGCATTCGTGTCACTAGCCCCTAGTCATGTGTGGTCGATTCATTGTCACTAGATATTCCGAGAGACTTCTAGTTGTGGTTTACGAATTGAGCAAGAGGACTGTTTCTCGGATGTTGCTGAGACTGCTGAGCAGTTTGTTCAACACAGGTAACTCGTACTTCTGGCTGGAAGTAAATTTACTTGAGGACTTGACCTATGACCCAGCTAACTGTGGTGAGTCCTTCTGAGACTATAGAGGTTTAGTTGAACAAGTTCCATGCTAATAGGTGTAGACTACGTGGTTGGGATCCAATCACTAATTGTTTTGCAATGGAAACTTGTTGAAATATTCCATGCTGAAAATGCCATATTGTACTAACCATATAATATTGAATAAATTCATTATTCTTCTTATTGTTATTGTATTATTAAAAGTAATCTTTTTAATCTCTACCACTTAACTGATAACAATATTTATAATATAAGTTTAATCTGCTTTCAATTTTCTTTCGAATATTATCCAGAAATGGAATCGATGTTTTATTTCTGTTTCGATCGCTTTATTTAGCTTTACACTCTATCACAGAACTGATATTTACAGTAACATGAAGAAAGAGTATCAATAGGGAAAAATAAATTCTCACAAATTTAAACTTTCTGTGTCTTTTTTTTCTCAGTTTTAAATTAACTTGAAAATAATGATAAATTAGCATACCTCACAGTATTGATTAAGTTGTTTATTACTTCCTAAAAATTCTTCCACCTTCTTATCTTCTCTACCATCATATATAAATGAAAATGGTTGAACTGTAAAATAAAGACAGAGTAAATTGAAGTTATTGTTGAAATGATATTAGCCTCAAAAAAAAATTTACCTATTACTTCAGTCAGATATTGATGCGGAATTTCAGAATAATGCTTTATAGATTCTTTTAATTTCTGTTTACACAGTTCATAAACATCAGCTGGAATTTTCGATTCTACATACACTGGAACTGGAGATGAATTCAACCAGCTTTGAACCGTTTGCATCTGTTCAATTGAAACAACGAAAAATATACAAGGGATTAATGACAATTAAAATGAAAGTATCGTCGTAGAACACGCATCAGCATTGTAAATGTTTTGTAAAAGTTTTTGTATTTCTAAAAGCGAATCGTACTTGTTAAGAGCTTGGAGGAGAGTAAACCTACAAGGGATTCAAATCTATAACAAGGGCCCGAATCTCAAATTTTGACTGAGTTCTCATTACAAACTTGCAGTACGTTCACTAGCCCGTGTTGTTGCTCTGCGGAATTTCATATGCATAATTGAAAATATAACCTGCGTTACTTTCTAATCAGAAACCAATAAATCTAGATGGTGTTTCAAGAATTAAAAGAATCACATAAAGTAAAATACAAAATGTCAGCGTGTTATGTTGTTGATTGAATTCTCGAACTCGTAACAAAGTATCTTTTACATTACTGACTACCATAATTTAGTTATCCATTAGCTTTTAAAAATTGTAATTGAAAACAGCCATTATTAGTGTAAAAGAATCATTTACGGCTAGACGAATGAATGCCCAAATTCCAATTCAAATTTAGGCATTATCCGTCATTCGCTACTGGTCCGACATGATGATAGATCCGGACTACCTAGCAGCGGTTTTAATGATGACGGTCATCAGTGGGTCGAAACATAGAGTGGCATGAATCAGAATCATTTTCACGAAAGCAGATGTATTCTCTCTATCTTCTCGGTTCCGAATTCGCGCTCCTCTAAAATGTGTATTCTACAATTTCAGATCATATTGCCGACCCATGGTCTTGCTTTTTTTAATCGTAACTACTATTAAATCTCAATCAAATCTCTTTTTTAGTCTTTATCTCATCATGTTTTATGGCATGGCAACTTGAGTCAATGAACACCATTTCTAGGCTTTATATAAATGATGTCTGTTGCTAGATGTGACATTGTATTAAATTGCCTTATAATTCAAATAAGTGATTACACCAAGGATAAAATCTTAAAACACTGATTAGAATTTTGAATGATGGCCACATAATTGATTAGTCTACCTTTCTACTTCAATGTACTAGAAATGACATAAAATGGATCAATATATAATTGTTTCTTTTGTTAGTACAGAGTATTTTTGTGATAGGTACGTAGGTTTACATATTTTATTCAACAATCTGAAATTTCTTAGTGATTTTTTTTATTTCAAAGACATTAGTCTATTCTCAACCTAAGATTTTATTCATTAGGACATTAGTTTATTATCAGTGTGACATTCAACACAAGTTCATCCTCAGGGTAACATTTTGGTCAGCATGATAGTGGGTTTGTATTTACTACCTAATATTATTACAGGTCAAGTTCACATAAATTAGGTGCAAATTTTTTTAGTATGACTGGTATAAACTTTGCCCATCGCAGCAGTCATCTTTTTCCACATTATTCTCTGTGAACTTTGTGTTTACAGCAAACCTCCTTATCTTTTCGTTCACATGATGCCTACTGATTAAGAACGAAGTGTATGTATGCATTTGTTTTCACTTGGTCGTCGTGTTTACTCTGAGTCAATAAGTCTCCACTCTTATCAGTCTTTGTGTTCTTGAGTGCCGTCGTTAAAATATAGGTTAATATGTTACATAGATAGCCAAGGCTACTCACTAGTCAGAGTGTACAATGGTTGGATTTCTTATCCCAACTTTTTACTGAGTGATTCCGTCTAAGCTGCAAGCGATTTAGTTTAGTCAGTATGAAAAACCTTACTAAAATCGATATATATATATATATAAATTTATAGACAACTGAAGCCACTCACGTATAGATCGAAAAGGATTTCATACCGCATTTAGCATATCATGTATCAGTGAGTGACTTCAATGTTTCAATCGAAGTACTTCTATTCATCAGTAAATAATTCAGAAATTAAAGGAGAGAGTTGTTGAAATTGTCATCTGCGATCGCCTCGCTCTTATGAAAGACCGAAGTAATTAGGTGAACATGCCTCGGACAGCATCATACGGTAATTATTGTACTGATAATTAAACTCCGAAGACACAGGTCTTAATTAAATCAGGAAGCAGGATGGAGAAGTATATTTTTATGGCCTAGTTAGTGATTTAGGAGTTTTTAAAGGTCTCATTCCAGACCAGTGTTTTTAAAATAAGGACACTTCCTTAGAACTTGTTGTTGATCTCATGATTCAAAGTTCGGAAAATGTAGTCAAGGACGTGTTTAAACTATTATCATTGAAATTCGAGAAAGTAAAATTTGGTGCTTACTTGAGAAACAATAAATGCTCAGTATTTTATACGGTAAAACACAATAAAATCCAGAATAACTTAACTCATATGAATATGGATTAAAGTAAAGAGCCAGCTGCCATGAAAGATTTGGTATTTTTAATCATGCTTTTACCAAGATCCGTACTCAAACTAATATTGAGACGGCCGATATGGAGCGATTAGTGCTGCGTTAGCTGTATACACCCACAAGAAGTAAAAATTCGCTACATTAGGTATTTTTCACAACTTACGTCCTGGAGAGAATTAAATATTATCCCGGCGATCGCAAGAACCAAATCCTCAAGATCACTGAAACTAGGATAGAAAAACACTTCTTGATCCTTATAAGTCAGATACATTTTTAACGTCGGGAGGTATTGTTTGTAATCCTCATCAAAAACACCAACCCATTCCAATAAATTTCCTTGCAAGAATTGCTTGATCTGATATCGTGCATCTATTAACGCAAATAGCGCATACCTGAATAGATAATAGAGTTGACACGCAATTAAAGAATTTTTCGAGATTCTTTGTCTTCAACTTTGGTATCGATGTTTTGTCCGAGAATAATTTGTATATCTCTGGGTACCAATTATTCGACAAGTGTTCACATTTTGTGTCTATTTCTTTTTGTATATAGGCTCGTAGTTCACTAAAATCAACAGCTCCCAACTCTCTAAAAACGCTGTTAGGAGTTTCAATTATTTTACAAACCTGTATTTTGAAGCGTCAATTAGCCTTGTTTTGGAGAACTCCTGGCTGCAAAGACTTAAAATCTCCTGCATATGGTGATGGGTTATCATCAGTTGAGAAGTAAGTTCTCTTTTGTGATCAATATGATCGGAATGCCATGACTGAGGAAAACTTATCAACCTACATGTGCTATATACTTGCGCATCAAGACATACCTTGGCATTTTTTTTGAGAGAGCAAATTCATCTTCTGAAAATTGAGAAACAAATGGCCGCTTTAGGGTCCGCGAAGTCAAAGACTTTCTTAGGCTGTCCATAAAATTTTCTTTAATTTCTAGCAATACTTCATTTAGCCGTTGTTCCCACCTTATTTTCAGATTTGGTGGAGTCATAGCCAGAATGTTTTGCAACCAGATATCTTGAATTTGAGGTATTACGCTGCTCTCTACACAAGATTTCATAGTGTTGTAGCCTTGCTTTAAAGGAGAGAAGTATGAATATGATATTTTTTACTCACTGTTAGTTTTAACTTATTGCTAACCATCTAAAAATAATAAAAGGTTCAAGGATGTTTATCAGAAACATAGCTCCTACGAAATCTGGTACAGGCGGTGATTCCCGTGGAATTGGTAATTTGTCTAGTTTAGTTTGCATTCTTCTATATTCTGCATGAGCTCGCTTAATTCTGAAAGCAATCAAAATTTGTACAAGAATACTTTAATAAATCCAAATTTTCTCTTTTATCTTTTTCTAGCGAGTATGTCAAAAATTTATGTAACTCAGGATCTTTATCTTTCTCAGCTATTTCCAGTTTGATCTTTTCCACTTGTGGTAATGGCATCAAACGATGCTTCAAAGGAGGATTTAAATCCATCTCTACAGTGTTGAAAAATACTGTGTTCAGCTGAAAACTTAAATCCGACTTTTAATAAAACGTTTAGCTAATTTTGAGGAGAGGACACAAGTATCAAGTAAGACCTGTCCTCATTTCACATTTGTACGATTATCAAACTATAGTAATAGCGATATTGCTTAAGTAAAACAAGAGTAACATTGAAGTAACAACTACTTAAGTAGGAATTATTTACTGAGAAAATGCTTCTTCCAAATAATCGGTTGTAACTATCGTCCGTCTTGGTCCTCCTCTAATAATCTAAAATGAAGCCTCTTCTGCGATCGTCTTCCATTAACATAGATTTGCCGTGATCGATGAGATCCTTCGTGGAATTAAAATAATTGTCTATACTGACGTATTTTATCAGGAAAGTCAGTAATATTCTTTGCAGTACTCCTGTGAAAACTATTTTAGGTTGGGGTAGAATATATTTAATATGAAAAGCGAGAGGCCAAACAGAGTTACTGCACCTTCATAACCAAGCCCTGTTGTTTTGAATGAGCTTCCCTCACCACCATTCCAGACCTTCTACAACAGTTAAGAGCCACTTGTAAGTCTTCTCTGAATCTGTGTTTTCGGCTTCATTGTTAGTGCTCAGTACCTACACATCACTCTCCCACGAGAATCAGCTCGATGTCGACTTAGCACAAAGTCATTTGAGTTAATACGCGCCGGAAGTTTTCAAAAGAACAATAAGAATCATTTGGGTACTGACAAACGTAAGGAAAAATCAGAGAGTCAGAAGCAACAGATCGAGACATGCGTGTCAGAATTCCAGAATGTTTTGTTTCACTACCAACACAAACGACATTCCACGTACAAATTTTTTGAACAGTAGATAAGTTAGGATTACACTAATGAGGAATGATTTATTTGATATTCAGAGGTTATAAGTTGTGGAAATCGTCAATGCTTGTGAACCAAATATCGAGCTGTTATGAGGCTGTAAAGCTGTAGTTCTATTAATAAATCAGGAAGTTGGAATGAATTGGAGAAAAATGTCGAGGCAATCAATACTGTTGCTAATTGTAGAAACAGTGACTGGTTTTATGGGCATGACTCTTCGTGAAGGTTTGTGATTTAGGGATGTTCCACAAGTAGGCAATAGCATCGTAACCTATTTCAAGAGTCTCACAAAGCAAGTGCAACTCAGTCTTACCAAAGTTCTTTCTAACTTCATCTCCGTGCTTCAAATGTTGATTTGTTCGAGCTCCTGCATAAATTGAACTAAACCATCCCACGAAGACACAACATTAGCATTCGGAAACTGGTCCCAACGAATGTGAGATTTGTAAAGATACTGCAACAGTTGTTTAGAAGAAAATTATATTGAAGCGATTAGACTTGGTGGATCGAGCAGAGATGAGACGTTGAAGAGTGCTACTCTCTGATCACGGATTTTTCATTTCAATCAAATCGAAATATGAAAACATAAAGTGTGGCGATCTACTCAATCCCAAATATTTGCAAGAGCACTCATGATTCAAAAGCAAACAAACAATTGTTACTCTGCTATTAGTGTGCAGAAAAACGTCCCATGCTAGTCCTGAATTGGTCACTAACGTTTTCATTTCAAAGCCTCCTAGGCTGTCAATTCGTTTAGTTGTAATACGAATACTTTTTGCATCTTCATTATCATAAGAGGATATTAGACGGCCGCCCGCGTAAAAATTGAGCTTTCACTAGGTTGCCATTATAGTCATTTGCAACTTTTTGAGCAGCCTTCACTAATTCGAAAGTTGTTGCGAAGGAGTGTGATATCATCTGATGATCCATGGTCTCTGATCACCACAAGAAAACTCAGTTCTCTGAGGTAATATATTCTGATACATAACTGCATGAACATTTGTTCTACATCACCGGATACTAAAACTGATTCTTTTCAGAAACGTAACAAAATACCAGTCAAATCTGCTGTCGTATCTCAGCCCTGGCAGAGCATTTTGTTCAAAGATTTGCCAGATAGTTTAAAAGCAGAGTCCAACACCACTCGCACTTTCCCGAGTTTCTTGGGGTTCAATTCAGTATGATGGGGTGAATACCGGCCTGGTGGTAACTATAAATGAATCGTAACCCTGGAACTACGACCTCATTTCTGTTTTGATCGTTTCGTGCAAAGCAAGGTTTTCGTAACACTTAATTTGACTTTTTAAACTCTCTTACCTCCGTCTGGCAAGGTAGTAGCTGTGAGCAACTATGTTTACTTCTGTATTTCAAGGTCGAGGAACAGCCCAGTCGTTTTTATCATAATGATTGTCATGCTAACTGCCTATAAGTCGTCCATGGATAACGATTTATCGGAAGATGTATGTATGTACGCCTGACATGAGTTTTATCAGGTGACAACTTCCTTGTGAAACAGACTGTCTTGTTTGCATTTCATTTATTATTTGTCACACTTGCTGAAATCTATCCAGTAAATTTGGTGATCTAGATGTGACAAACCCTGTCAGCTTAGCGAATGCGGTTTCCCGCCCACTTGCTACCAACTTTCAAACTGTTTCAGCACATTTCAGCTGTAACTCTGGAGGCGATCTCAATGCTATGTTGTATAGGGTGCCTTAAGATTTGAGGTTCGACGAAAAATTCATTCAATATTATGCTATCGAATGGCTCTCCGTCTTGATTGCTAACCTGGACAGCGTTTCAGAGTCGTTTTGATCAACTCTTTTAACAAGGCTCAACTGACTTAATGTGTCATTCCAAATAACATTTTCAGAATACCGAATGCTGTACGATAACCAGACGATGGTGAAGAATGGTGCGTACTTTAATAGCATCTAGATACACGAATTTGCAACTATTTATTGATCGAACGAGCCGCTGACCATCATTTCCAACCTTATGAACGACATAAAATTTTGAACTTCTTGATGAACTACCAGCGATCCGCTAGTTGACTATCAAAACTATGTATTTCTACCTCTGAATGTTCTGAGAAAAACTAAGAATATATGGAGCACGCCTTTCATCATTCTTTTTAAAATGAATTGATGTTTTCGCTGTTATGGACCTAGTCTAATTCCAACATCATGGCTGGAATTTGTAATGGGGCAGCGAAGACTATCTTGTCGTCGATTTCGACAGTCGGAAGCAGAAGATACTTCATTTATTATCTCTCTGGGTTTATTATATTCGCCCCGTTTACAGCTCGAATTTCTGCTACTTAACATGCACCGTTCCCTCAACTGTCTTTCGTCCGAACTAGCTCAGGTAATCCTAAAACTTAACTTACTACACTGACTAACTACGTTTGATTTTGAAGCTTTTATCTCGAAAGAAGTATACTATACTGATCTCAAACACAGTACTTCACATAGTTTTAGTTGTGTAGACTGTGTAGATGTAGTTCGCTGATATAGTTATACCTTAGCTGAAAAGCTACCTTCATAAAAGTAGGCTTCATGAAGAGGTAAATAAAGCGTATGATAACTGGTGATTCTGAATATCAGTAGTTTAACATGGGACCATCTTTATTCCACTTCTATTCCTGACTTGTTGAATAAAATTATCTACGCTGCACTCTATGCTAACAATGCGAAAACCTAGAGATCCATAAGAAACGAATGTAATTGGACTGGGCTTCCAGAAGCCCTCACAGGAGCGAGCAGTAAACAACAAGTTAAAAAATAACCAGTTGAAATGTCACATCATGAACATTCTGCCGTACGTGAAATTATCTGCTTACGTCGTCAATGGAAGTCCGCTACCTAATTTTTCCTCATAGTTCGATCCCGGACTAATAACTACAGTGATCGCAAATACCAATTGAAACTACATCGAGTGTATTCTCCAGTCATTTCACTTGTTTGTGCAAACAGAAGTGTTTATGGTAAATCAGAAACGCATTAGTGTTGATATTCGTTTGGTAGATAACCTTAAAATCATTTCATACTGACCTGATCTTGTCTTGTTGAAATATGAAGCTGAATTTTGAGACAAGCATTTGGAATAAAGTATTTTTTTAAGATTGTGTTTCATGACTGAACCTGAGAATGCAAACAAAATATTTGCTGCGTAAATATATTTCTTCGTGAAATCTGTAGCGAAGTCACCTATTGGTGAATCTGTAAGTTAACAATTTGGAACTTGAATTACGAGTTAATTTGCTGAGTGAAAGATATTTTCTGATGACTGCGCACTTACTCCGTTGTAACACAAATCATTAGTTAATCAATATCTTTTTCTGCTAGTCAGATGTGTCAAATATAACATTACAACGCCACAATGAAATATATGAACCCGTACCCTAGATGGAAACAGATGCGTTAGTGGCGCTTCAACCGAGATTAAGTATGTGAAAAGCTAACGCTCACACAAATGAACTATCTGTCTGATCCTGATTCTACAAAAACAATCGAATGCATGTTTTTAAAACTCCCGCTATACTTACAGAAGGAGTGGGTTAAAGTAGCATGTCAAATTCTCAAGACAGGTAGGGAGCCCTTGTTCAAGGACCTCTATGAATTTGTAAAAGAACAGTCAGATATAGTTAATGCTAGAAGCGACCTACTTGTCAGCCGCGGTGCTTCGAAGGGGAAAACTAATGCAAGTTACAACTCAGCAAGGATAACATATGCGAGCACTAATGATGGCCATGCCTCCTTTCTTAGTTTACCCTGTCTGGAATGCTCAAGCAATCATTCCTTAGACCAATGCCAGAAGTTTAAAGACAAAAATTTTAGAGAAAGGAAAGAGTTCGTCTTTAAGCATAAGTTATGTAATGTTTGTCTGAAGGAAAACCATGTAGCAAGAAATTGTCGATAGCCGAGGTCATGTGCTTTTGAAGGATGTGGCTGGATACACCATGCCCTGTTACGTGAGAAGCGTGAAGAACGGAGAGATACTCACAGTGATGCCTACAATAATACTCAGATTTATACGGAAGAAGGAGTTAAGTGCACACAGAAGCCAGTGGCATTTGCGGTAGTTCCCGTATGGATAAAAAATGGTGAGAGAATTATTAAGACTTGCGCCTT